TCTCCAATTAACACTCCATACGTCATGATGAAACCCATTTTTAAAAATAAGCAAAATTTACTATATACAGTTCGGTCCTTCGCTATAAAATAAATGTAAATATTGTAATATAGTGGAGTATACACAGCTAGGGATTCTAATATTTAACGGTGATTGGCTCAAGAGCTCGACATCTACATCCACAATGCGCGCACTTCAAGTGACACAACTGCGCACTTAAATATTCAAAATGCGTCGCTTGCTGATTACATTATGTTGAACTGACTCATTATTATCATTTATAACCAACGATGATGTCACAATGCCATTCCTGGATTGATCACATTGAATTCTGAAACCATTTTGATTTATATAAATGTACATTTATACAACGTTTATAACGACCCCAGATTTATGTCTTTTACTGTAACCTTCACTAGTCGCCTGAGCTGTAACTTTCTACCGCACTCTCCTATTTTTTTAATTATGTATCTAGCAGTAGTATACTAATATGTGTACAGACAGGCAAGGTTTAGATTGTTTCTCTATATTATTTTTTTACTAGAAACTCCTCTCCAGGCATGATTGCATAAGTTAATAATTATAATAACCATTATCGTCAAAAAACCAAAGTCAATAGTGGCGTGGGAAGGGATACCTTGGAAACTGGGATAACCCACAGACCGGCGGACCTCGGCTACATTGATGTTGTACCTAACTCTCATATAAGCACACCTCTCAGAATGTCAACATCGAACACGGTGAGCGTGCACTACAGCCATGTTTAAGTGTAAAAAACACTTTACCTGGGTCGTTATGACGCTATTTCCATGGACACAACCTTTGGCAGAATTTTAACGCAACATTTAAGTTGCATTTTTAATATAAAAGTTACGTCGTAATGGTGAATATACCAAAACATTTGTTGAAATTCCCATAATAATTAACACAGGGTAAACGGCATTACACGCAAATTTAAATACGAATTAGCCCGAATTTGTTGTCCCCTGTGCTATTCCATTGACCGGTGCATCCCATTTACGACCTGTCAGTAAACAAACTGTAAAAGCCCCATTCACTGTCGTCAAGGAGCTTTGTAGTTGGAACTGCACCCTGCTAGGAGTCCGTCATTAAAAACTTTCCCTTTTGAAAGGACAGTTAACTTGCACGCTGTCATAACACACTATTATAGATTTCCTCAGTTAATGCCTGGAAGCGATTGCAATCGCCAATCTTACAAATCCAATTAATCAGTCTGGCCAGTTCGATGATAAATAATGTCAATGCTATAAATGTAATTCTCGTTTGTTATGCGCGCCACGTGTGTAAAACATTTGAAAACACATTTGAGAATACATAAAAATTGCAAAAAAAACACGTTACGATATGACGCGAATATTTGAACAGATAGAACGGTTGTCAACGTAGGATATGCTTTATTCCATCGCCTCGGCTATGTCACAAATCTCCGGACCCCTTTGAACAGTACGTGTTTTTTTCGTGTTTGCCGACCGTGGTATGTTTGTATGTAACAGATATGCCACAATGGTAATCTTGTAAACAGTGGCGACGTGAGTCAAGACAACGTGCCCTTTGGGGATTGTAGAATACAAAACAACAACAACAACAACAGCAACAACAACAACAACAACGAAATAAAAGGTCAGTTAAATTTGAAAGTTGAATTGATGAGCACGGATATTGGTTTTAGAACTCCCTCAAGCTGGTTGTACAAACGCCACCACTCGAGCAAGTATGTGTATATACCTCGTCCCATGAAATATACATAATCATGGACAAATGTTCACTAGTGCTGACTACCGTGAAACAAACGGCGTAGTGTCGTAAATATATTATAAAGATAGAAGGTTTCTATAACAAATTATTTTGAATAAATTAAACTAAATTAAATATGAACAAAAGTCCAAAAACTTTATTGGTGGTTCTGACTTCTATCATAGTCTCTGTTTAGAAAATTGTCTCCGGCTTGAAATATGGTCTCGTGCGCCAAACTGTTTGAGGGTTACATACATGCTTGTTTAAACTTTTGCACGACGTATGATGTGAATTGTTTTGCAATATGTACGACCTAAAATATTCCGCTCGCGATCTTATGAACGTACGATCAAACATATTCCACTCGGAATCTTAAAAAGCAGTACACGTACAATTTTCAAACTTGTGTCAAAATACTTCCCCATAGATATTTTTAGTTGCATCATAAATGTCCGTTTAGGCAGCACTGAACAATGGCAGTTTTCTTCACTCTTAGACTTTCTTATTCTCAACGACGAGGGCGTAAACAGCATGAACTGCAGTCTGTACTGCAGTATTTTCGCTGAAGGAATGATTCAGTGAAAATAAAATCATGCGAATATACCATTTCTCTATATGTTACATTCAACTCATTAAGAATCGGTGAAAACAAACTCCATACAACACCCAAAAAGTTTTAACTGCAATGTACGCTCACTGGTTTATTTTCCCAAATATTTTATGAAGATTCACCCTCGGTCGGTGAATAAAGGAAACTGTAAAGGATAAGAAAACGGCCACTGTTTGATGCGAAAACAGACATGTATGATGCAGTATGACATGTATAGTGTTATTTCTCATTTATTTTCCGAATACATGTAGTTATGCTGTTTACGCCCTCATTGTTGAAAATGTTAAAAACTAGAGAAAACGACCATGGTTTGCTGCCTGAAATGAACATGATTCAAATATCTCCGAAGACCAAAGGGGTCCAGAATTGTACGTCCATGGGTTTATTTTTGCAATATTTAAAGCTTTTCACTTCTTTGTCACCAGTATATACATCACATCAATGTGCATCATATTCAACAGTTGAAGGTTATACTTGTATAACTAGAGTTTTTTTCTATATTTTAAGAGGCATGTTACATTGCATTTACAGCCATAAATATTCCATAATGATCGTACCAAAGTCATGTTAGATATTTTTCGTAATTCCATTGTTAAACGGAAGATAGAATATGATATATGACTTCCAAAGAAACGGGACTATTTTGTGGAAAGCTGCTTAACCATATTCCATGTTTGGGATTTCACAAAAGGGCTATGATCGTCCTATCATACAGGCAATTGCAATTCAATCAAACAGATTTTTATCTATTTTAACTTCCCCGAATCAGTTAGTAAAAAAAATCTCATCAACTGTGTACAGCTATACCTGTGAATACCTCAAAAATAGTTTTGCTTTTGTTAAACCCCATGTAATGTTTTGGTTCCACTATGACTTTTGTTTATCCTGTTTTTATGTTTAATTTCTGGCAAAACGTGGTATATAGCAGTGAACTGAAAACAGACGTTGACAATAACAGTGAAAGGATTTAACTTTGAGACAACACACATTTCATAAAAAAAAACTTTTTTAATATTTTACAAATAAAGCATCTGTTTATTCTTAATACATACAGTGATAACATAGTAGGGTTAGAAACCAAAATTTAAATAATTACATGGTTTCAACCCCACAAGGCTATGATCAATAGTATTTGTTTTCAAAATAGTGCATTTTCTCTATTTGTTTACATATATACAGATCAGTTACAGAAATAATTACATATGGACGGACATAGAGAAGTGTATAACAAAATTAAAAA